TCCTTTCTGAACGGGCGTGGGCATCTCGCAGTCGGCCGAACTCCCAGCAGAGCATCTACACCTCGACGCAAACACCTCAGGCTCTGGCCTCCCGGGCGCCACTGTCCCAAGGGTACTCAAGAACACAGTCCCCTCTAGTGGCATATACCCAAAACTGAAGCCTCGTCCCCTCTATCCCCCTCAGTCCCGTCTTCAGGCCCTCCAGGGAGTGGCTGCCTCGTACACCCTGCTGCATGAGAGCCAGGACGCATTCCGGCATTTCACCGACACCCTGGACACGGTTCGGCACCCACCCTGAAGACTGTCGCTGACCCACAGTACGTGCACCGCTGCGCCAGGGAGCACCTGCCCCCACCGTGTGCCGGCTGGGACGCACAGCGCTCCTCACACCTCCACCCAGCTTGGGAAACGTCCCAGCTTACTTACTAGTTTCTGGCTGTGCTCCCGAGGACGTCCAGGCTACGCCATGGAGGAGTATGAAGCATGTTAAGCTGCCCTCTGCTCACGTGAGGCTGCTACCTGAACCTCACTTCACAGCTCTGCCAGACCCACGGGCACGGCAGGACCTCTGGGCCCATGAGCCACGGTGCCCGCCACTATGCCACAGTGCACCACGGCCACGCGTGGTCCTGTGCGCACCTCCTCTGGAGGCCTCCATGCAGACAGCACGGCTACCCAGCGACGGAGCCCGTGGGCCACAGGGGAACACATTTGGGGCTGGCCCCCATGACGAAGCCTGACCAATCTGCACCGCAGTCTCCGCACCACCTCTCGAACCCCACGGACTGCTCCACTGCTGGGTTTGAGACTCGTGCACGGCCTGCTTGTGGGATAGTCCCCTGCTGCCACTGACCTGGCCAACGCTCACCCTTCATGCTTCATCTCCAAAGACGTTCCCAAGGGCAGCCTCCTCCGGCCCCACTCCCCGTCAGAGCTTAGCTACACAGCAGCCTTCGTGCTCTCTGGGGGCTGGCAGTGACGTGAGGGTTAAGGCAGGAGGATCCCAGATGGCCAACTGCATGGTTTGAGTCCCAGACCCGGGGGCTCAAGAAAACGTGGAGGGCTTGTGGGCCCAAAATTCTGAAAGGAGAGATGGAGAGGGGGTCGTGGTGACCACTCCCCACGGGATGTGCTTTCTCCGTTTCTCCCCGTGCGCTCACGAGCACGTGCGTCTTCGGGCAAACTAAAAATACCAATGATGATCTTGCTGTCCTGGGGTGGGAGGGGACCCGGCAGGGAACAGGGTCTTCCCACTGCAATCGGCCCATCTCGGTCAGCCAGGCCACGTCAACACACACGCCTGACACACTCAGGGTATGCCCAGGGCTGAGCCCGGACCCTTCCTGCTTGGTCCCAGCACGGCAGAACACTGTCACTGCAGCACCGTCCTGCCTAGCCCAGAAGGAAACTTACTAGGTTAAAAGAAAAGACCTTTCCGGGCCAGAGGCGCATGGTGGTTAAGCTGTCAGATCCCATGTGACGGACGGGGGTCAAGCCCTAGACCCGGTGGGTTAAAAACAACACGGGACACATGTGCGTACATGGCCACAGTCACAGGAGGAGGAGAAGGGACTGCCGCGTGCCCCCACTGGGTGGGTGACAAAAACTAACAAAATCAGTACACGCACCTTTCATACTTAGCACATTTTTTTTTAGGTATAGCGAAGCGGAGCTTATTGAAGGAGAGGGAAGAAAAAACACAGTGCCCAAGAAGGGAGGGGTCCCAGAAAATGGGTAGCCACATACTTAGTAAACCTTAAAAGCTGATAAATTAACCAGTTTAGAACTAAACCTGGACTCTCTTCTCTCCCTTCCTTGTTTAAAGAATTATTTTATTGAATTTTATTTATTTATTTTAAATTTGACCAGAGAGGAAGAGAGCAAGACAGAGAGAGAGAGAGAGAGAAGTGAGAAAGCAAGCTGTCAGGTCCGGGACTCAAACCACAGTCGGCCCTGTGGGAGTCCAGTGCCCTTAACCACCACGCCACCTGTCGGCCCCTGGAATCTCTTTTTAAGAACTATTTTTTAGCAGCTGGAGAACTGCGCTTGCAGGAGAGAGGTGTGAGGATGTGGAAGTGCGGCCCCAGCAGGCCACAGCCCCGTATGACCTGTTTCCTCTGCCATCAGGACTTGGGTAAGCACAGGGACCCGGCCTGTTTTTCAAGCTGCCCAGGCCAGAAATTAAGCCTCGACTGGCCAGATGGGGCTTTGCTCTCTCAACCACTGCACCACAAGGCCAGCCTCCCAGCTCTTATGATTCCTTTCTTCCTACTGTAATTACTCACCATTCCACGTGGACGACCCGCAGACCTGAAAGGAAGCTCTATGGCTGGTCCTTCCCGGGTCCCATCCCGAGGCTCTCAGTGGGCCGTTAGGGTACAACCGTCTGGAAGCATAGCCCGTGGGTGCGCTCCTTTTCAGGGGAGAGCAGGGTTCTGGACTGTGAGGCAGAAGGAGTCCTGACCAACCGCCCCGTGGTAGGGGAGCAGGTGAGTGAGAAAGCAAGCTGTCAGGTCCGGGACTCAAACCACAGTCGGCCATGTGGGAGTCCAGTGCCCTTAACCACCACGCCACCTGTCGGCCCCTGGAATCTCTTTTTAAGAACTATTTTTTAGCAGCTGGAGAACTGCGCTTGCAGGAGAGAGGTGTGAGGATGTGGAAGTGCGGCCCCAGCAGGCCACAGCCCCGTATGACCTGTTTCCTCTGCCATCAGGACTTGGGTAAGCACAGGGACCCGGCCTGTTTTTCAAGCTGCCCAGGCCAGAAATTAAGCCTCGACTGGCCAGATGGGGCTTTGCTCTCTCAACCACTGCACCACAAGGCCAGCCTCCCAGCTCTTATGATTCCTTTCTTCCTACTGTAATTACTCACCATTCCACGTGGACGACCCGCAGACCTGAAAGGAAGCTCTATGGCTGGTCCTTCCCGGGTCCCATCCCGAGGCTCTCAGTGGGCCGTTAGGGTACAACCGTCTGGAAGCATAGCCCGTGGGTGCGCTCCTTTTCAGGGGAGAGCAGGGTTCTGGACTGTGAGGCAGAAGGAGTCCTGACCAACCGCCCCGTGGTAGGGGAGCAGGTGCACCCCACATAGCCCGTGCTACCAATCGGCCCGGTGTGCCCACGCAACATCCTCCACCACACACTGCAGCTGACTTCAAAGACGCCACCTCTGGTCCAGGCCGTGTCAATATACCCAACACACTGTGAACGGGCAGTTTCCTAAAATGTCAGTTTCACCCTGCTCCCCTTATGCCCCAAACCCTTCGGTTCTCCAAGAAGCCTACAAGACCATGCACAGACCTTCTACTCGACAGCTAGGAGCTTCGCAATGACCAGGCGCTGCCCTCCCTCGTCTCGCAGGCCTGTCGTGCACGCCCTGATCCTCTGTCCCTGCTCAGGTGACGGTCCTCCACAGCCACGCCTCTCCCAGCGAGGTACGAGGACCAGCTGAGACCCCAGTCCCTCCCAGAGCACCTCGGCAGCTGCTGTACAGCCACTACGCTCCCCACTGTTCTGGGAACACAGCCAGTGTCCCCAGTTCTTGCGTGGCAGCACCGTCAGGGTTTCACAGGCACCTGTCCCAGACAGCGAGATTGGGTGAATTCCCTCAGGCCTCTAATATGGCTGGAAATTGATCATGTTACATAAACTTCCAGGATTAAAGATGCCTGACAGCCGATCACATTCACATTTACAAAACAATGTTCTCACTCATTTCTCCGTCCACCTCACGCCAAGGGCCGTCCAGGGTGGGCACTCGGGAAGACACCGCGGTCAGAATACCGGCGCGACAGGGAGGGACTCGCAGCAATTTCACCCCATGGGGAGCAGCGCTCAGAGGGAAGGCTCGAGGGACCTGCCCTGATCAGGGAGCCAGAGGAAGCGTGAGCTGCCAGGACTGCTGGCACGGGCGTGCCTGGCCTTGAGGTAGACAGAACCAGCCAGGTCGGGGCAGCCAGGGACCCGTGGGCTGCTGGCTCTCAGCCGCCAGCCTGCGCTCAGGGAAGAGCCACCACGCCTTTCCTCTCGGGCACTGGCCCATGTCTGAGGCAGGGCTGGCTTCACGTGGGCCGGGTACGACTCGGGCGGGCCAGGGAGCAGCTTTTCAGGGCAGGGGGAAGGCGGAGTTTCAAACGACGGCTAGTTCATTTCCAGCTCAGACTCGGGGTAGCCCAGCTCTAACAGTGGGAAACACAAATTTTAAACTGAAATTTGACTACTGCCAATTGAAAAATATTTCTCATAACAAGCATGCAACCCAGAAAGCACTTCTGTCATGTTGCTGTATAATCTCTGCAAATGCTCACACATTCCCTAGAAATATGGACGTAACTGTAGCTGGTAAACTGTTACTTTAAGCAAACTGTTACAAAGCTGAGTAGAGTTACTGACTATATCAAGCTTAAAAATAATGGTTGTCCCATCAAAATGTCCGACTATGATCCTAAACTGTTATTAGAAGCAAGTATAAGAGAATTAGGGTAAACAACTCCAAGAGACACAAAAATAACTTCTTCTAGCAGAGAAAAGACCTGCGTGATTTTAAATAAGCTGCCAGAAAGTCGTCAGGAAGGGACTCAAACCCTCAGAGTTCTGGAGAGGAGAGCGCAGGTTACGGGTCCGACGCCCTGAGCTCCAATCCCCACCGACGGAGACGGAGCTCCCGAGGTGAGGCCAGACTTGGGCCCTCCCAGGAGAGCTCCTCTGGGGCAGCACCTTCCCCCGCAGTCATGTTCCGACTGGGCCTGCATTGTTTCCTCCTGACTCGCCTGGGCTCTCGGGGCTCTGCGCATTGCCCGCGCCTCCCTCCTGGGCCCCAGAGTACTGCGGCTCTCTTCATCGGCCGCTCCCGCCCTTGCCCTCCCTCTCCCACAGAGGCAGAGCCCAGCTCATATTCAGCACAGCCGGGCACCCAGGACTCCCACGCCAGCCGCCAGTCCGGGGCCTGACTCAGGGTGCGGGACAGTGGCCACGTCCCTGCCAGGACTCGGCCCGCCCTACCTTTGCGGCCACAATGCTGAGGCCCATCCCGTTCTGCTTCTTCAGGGTCACGGTGATGACCTCAGGCTCCTTCCTCAGGGGCTGGGCCTAAGGGAACACGACAGGGCTCAGGTCGCTTCTCCACGGTGGGCGACCCGGGCCCCGGCCAGAGCTTTACGACAGCAGCGGAGAGGTGGGGCATGGGAGTGGAGAGTAAAACAGCCAGTGAAGACGGACAGCCTCGCGTCTAGTCTGGGAAACACGCTGACACCCTTCACTCCAGTCTCGAAGGTCAATGGAGGCAAAAATGCTAGTTTTAAGAACCTAATTTAAAAAGCCAAATTAAATTTCCATAACCTGACTATAGGGACCAGAAGATTGCATAGTGGTTCCGTCACTGGACTCCCACGTAGTTGACTGTGGTTCGAGCCCTGGACCCAGCAGCTTAAAACTCACGCCAAATACACATGTGTGTATGGCCAAAATACAAAGAGGAGAGAAGGAACTGCGGCATGGCCACCCCTCTGGGGGGTGACTTCTTGCTTTCTGTCTCTATGGTGAGCGCATACGCACTATAGAAAAATCTCTCAAAAAAAGAAAGAAAGAAAGAAAGAAAACCTCTGAAGACAAAATCCAATTCCTACTTGACTGCGCAGGACCAGAAGGGGCCTGCTGCCAAGTGAAGGCCACTGTGGTGGCTGGGCCGTGCCGAGTGGGCCGGCGGCAGAGAGTCGTGCCACGGCGGTGCATGGCCTCGCAGCGAGGGCAGGCGGCACGCGAGCACACGCAGCGCGCACACCGGGGCTGAGCCAGCTTGGTCCACGACGTGAGAGCCCACGGCCGGGAAGCGGCGGCACAGCCCTTGGCGGAGGCCTCGAGATGGTGCTTCCCGGAGCAGAGGGCGAGAGGGGTCGGCCGCTTCTCCTTTCCTGAGCGCTCCTGAGAGCCCGAGAGCTAGCTAGCTAGGTGCAGAATCCGAGCCCCTAGCTAAGAGGTACTTGTGTTTCTACGTATTCTGGTACTTGCACGTCGCTGCTCCAACTCGGGAACTGACAGTCCGTAACACTGACATTCATGTTAATAGTTAGATGTGATCATGTTTTTGGTGTTAACAGAGAAATCATGGGTTAATCCGCGTTCTGGAACTGTCTCCGAGACAGGCTCCAACTTAATGTATGCTATGCAAAGAATTAGATGTTAATTACTTTGAACTGAACATACCGAAAAAATCTTCTTTTAAAAAGACTCTCTCCATGAAGCAAGGTAGATTTTAATCGTACAAAGCAGAAAATACTGAAGTTCTTATGCTTCCAGAAAGACAATACTAGAGATGATTTATGTAAGAAATGGGCTTACTATAAAAGGGTAAAATATTTGGGATCAGAAGACGGAGTAGCAGTTACACTGCTGTGCTCCGCCGACACTGCCGACGTTTTGGGTCCAGGCCCGGCAGACTGAAACTCACACTGGGCGCATGTGCATGTGTGCCCCAAATCCCGAGAGGACGACGTGAGGGGAGTGTTGCGATGTGGCCATCGTCCACGGGGTGATCTCTCTCTCTGTCGCTGGGGAGTACATGTGCCCTATGACAAAAATCTCTAAAAAAATATATAAGTAATTTTTATAAGAATAAAAGACTTTCTATCAAAAAAATCTTTCCAATAAAATGTTAAGGTTAATGTATTAGTATTTTTAAAATATGTACCAAAATACTATTTTAAAAAGTACCATTTGTTTACAAGCAAAACTACAGAGAAAAAAATGCACATGCATTTGAATAAATCTTGGTTTCAAGATTTTACCAGAGCCAATGTGTGAAGATGATGCTTAACTTTCCTGTCACAGGAGCACCGGGGTAAGCAAGGAGCCCGCTGGGAGGCAAGGAGCGCGTCTCACGCCCCGCCCGACGAAACCCGATACTTGCCAGCTCTGTGTTCTCCCGCATCAGGTGGCTGTCGTAATCCGCGCCTTCGAAATATATCGTCCAAGTTCCTGGAGACCGCGTGTGAGGGACTAATCTGCAAAACCCTGAGGGACACAGCAGACCGTGAGATGGAGAGCATGCCTTCGAGACCCACGGCCTTCGCGACCCACGGCCTTCGCCTAGGGAAGCAGGAGCAGCCAGCGCTCCGTGTCTACCGGCAGTACCGCTCTCCCTCCTAACACCGGCATTCCCTCTGAAAACGGAATCACACATTTGAAACCATCTACTGCGTTGCCAGGAAAATCACGATGCACTTTTGCACAGAAAAACAGGTCATGACTTTCTCAACAGTCTGGCATTTGGACCCAGCCAGGTAGTGTGGATCCCATATGGCTGGCTGCAGTTCGACTCCCGGACCAGGCAGCTTGGAAAATACAGTGTGTGTGTGTGTGTGTGCCCGGTCTGGGGAAGGGATGGAGAACGGATTATGGTGGCTGCCCCCAGGGGGTGATTTCTCACCACTCCCCTCCACCGTCTCTATGGAGTGCACACACTACAGCAAACTGAATAATAAAAGTTCATCGAATCCAATAGGCTCTCACTTGGTCTCCTCATGCTCCAAGAGCACTTCTCTCTTACTCCTGTAAGTCACTCAGTCACTCTGTAATCACCTCCTGCAGGACTGTTTATCCCACTAGCCTAACTCCTCAGTAACATTCGGAATATCTATTTCTCTTAGGGCATGAAGCCTTAACATTTTATTAGAAAGATATTTGTCTGGAGTCAGACAAACATGAGGGTGGGGGATGGCCACGGGGCAATCCCTCCTCTGCTCTCCGCACGGGATTCGGCTTGGGGGTGCCACACACGTGCCCAGTGCGTGTTCTCAAACTGCCAGGTCTGGAATTCGAGACGCAGCTGGCCACGTGGGATCCAGAGGTCTTACCCACACGCCACCTGCTGGCCCAGAGTATCTACTGAACAAGGGAAGAGAGGGAGAGGAAGATGGAATGGCAGCGACGCTGGACCTCTGCTTCCACGTTTGATGCTGGCTTCAGGGACAGACGGGCATGACTCCATGAGGACAGCAATCACAAGTCCTAGGGCCCATTCACATCGCTCTGTCCAAATTTTCTTGTAAACTGATACTTGCTTAAATTTCGGAATCACTGATAGTGTTTTAAGGAAAAAATCCCCTGGTGTATCAGCAGGGACAGACGGTGTCACTACGAGGTCCATGTTCGGTGGAGAAACCTGCTGCTCTTCCTCACTCGCTTCCGCTCCCCGTTGTTCCTCACGATGCCTCTCACACCGGCCTGCGCGAGGCTCGCCAGCTGTCCCCTTCCTGGTTCTGGCTAACGTTTGTCAACGCCCTGAAGGCCAGGCACTGCAGCCTTGGGCTGACCTCAGGGGGCCCTGCCACGCCACAGAGCTGCTGCCCCAGGGCTCTGACGGAGGCCGCGGGCACCATTAATTTGGACACTTAAGAATTCCTTTGTGGTAAAGGAAAAAGGAGATGTCAAAACATTCCGACACAGTGAGGTTCTAGAGTAACTTAACCTTGTTTCAGTTTCTGGTTTCTTAAATCACTGTTTTTTTTTTTTTTTGAGAGGTTTTCACTATAGGGCATGTGCGCTCGCCAGACAGACAGAGAGAGACATAGAGACAGAAAGCGAGAAATCACCCCCCAAGGGGGGATGGCCACGCCGCAATCCCTTCTCCATTCTCCTCTCGGGATCTTGGGCACGCACGCACATGCGCCCGGCGTGAGTTTAAGCCACCGGGTCCAGGACTCGAACCAAGGTCGACTACATGGGAGTCCAGGGACACAGCCATTATGCTAACTGCTGGTCCTTAAATCACTGTTTTAATCTAGTTTCACTAAGAGAGAGCCTCTAGCTCCCTTCTTCCCAGTGTTGTAGGGAACCACAGCGTTAGGATTCGGACACTGCAACAGTCGCAGGTTGTTTTCAGACGTCTGGTCTCCACGGCTAGTGCTGGGCCCTACTGCGAACGGTTTGCTTGACGAGCTTAAGCAGTGCCTCTCGGACCAGGGACGGCGTGTCCAGGCAGGCCTGGCCGTCTCTCCCAGCACCACATGGTCTGAGAATCAGGAAGGACACAGCCGCGGGGAGCATGTGGCAGATCTCCCATCAGCTCGCGAAGCCGTGGGCGTGAGAAGGAAAACAGGCCACAGAAGGGAACATCCACGCCTTTGTTCATTCTATGGGCACCTGTGTACGAGGCTCCCTCCACTGACGACACCCAACACGTGCGGTGGCTGGTGACGCCTACACATGACCGAACACACCTGCGCTGAGATCCACGGCCAACTCGGCACACAGGGCCCACTGTCTCCGAGGCGCCAACACCTACTCGGCGGCACGCCTCCTGGACTGTACACGCAGCCGCAGAACGCTAGGAAGCTGGCTTCTGCGTGCGTGTTCCCAAGGTAGCAACTCAGAGCTGTCGCTGAGCACCTGACATGCAGCAGGCTGCATGCGTGAGTAAGAGCAAGAGGAGCTCACGCCAGCTCTGCACACAGGCTACGCTGCTCCAGACACACAGCAGGGATGGGCCAGCAGGTCGCTGTTCTGGGACATGCACACCGGCAGAGGCCGGGCCTTCCGCAGAGTGAGGGCGAGCTCGCAGCAGCAGCAGACCCCTTTAGGGAAGGGCATGGACGCACAGTGCCTGCATGTCAAGGCAGTCATGCGTGAGGGAGACCGAGGCGTGCCCCGGTTTACTGTAATGGCCCTGGAGGAGGAGACAGAAGCTGCCAGCAGCTCAGACGGCCTACAAGGTCTGGGGGGGCCTGGGGTGGGGGTGCACTGGCTGATGCCTGGGGCGGCCACTGCCTGCCCTAACACTGGATGTGGCTTGCAGTCCAGGGGCTGGCCTGGGAGGTGGGATTTGGAGCATATGTCTTTCAGCAACCACAGGGCAGCCACGGACCTGCTCGGGACCAGTTTCCAGGTTTCCCCAGGCAGCACGTGAGCATGAACCAGGCAGCCCCACTCCTGGGGTGTCGGTCAAGGCCTCAAACTGTACTGCAGCATGGCCCCTGCTGCCCCAGCTGGCCAACCTGTCACAGGGATGACCTGAACCAGAAGTGAAGGCCCCTACCCATTCATGCTTCACACGGGGATTCCTCTGCCCCACCCCACCTTGGCCTCTGCTTCTGCCGCCCCGTGGTGCCCTGAGCATTGGGCAGTGTTCTTGGGAGGGCTCCGTGGGAGCAGATCTGTGAACACTGCATTTCACTAGGAGCAGCAGCCTTTGCAAAATGGGTTTTGTTAAACAATCAAACACTTTGAAGATGTAAACGTTACCAAGGTGACGCTATAAACACGCACTCGCTACGTTTATACACTTCCGCATACAGCCCTAACTTCTCCGTGGTTGTTATTTTTATTTATTTAAACTAACACCTACGTTCTGAACTCCTCTCCTTTGGAGCTGTTCCTACTACAAAGTCGCAAAGTGGGACTAAAGTTCGGTCTAACCCAAAGGCTCATACTTGAGGGCTGTCAACACACAGCAACCAAAGGGAAGCACTCCAGCTCCAAGCCCCGGGGGCTCCTACGTGGCGGCTGTGCCCATCACTGGAGGACGACTCCGCGACAAGGCTGCACGCTCCAGGAGCCCCGCCTGCGGTCGGGGCCGCGTGACTGATGCCTGGCGGAGAGTGCGTGCTGCTGCAGGCCACAGCCTTCGAGGGCTCTGCCTCTGGGCGCAGTCTGCAGCACCAAGACAGGCTCGTTCAGGTCGGAGGGACACGCGCCCGACGTAGGGGGCCCGCCACCTGTGCCCTGAGCGAACCGTGCAGGAGACGCGCGGGCGCTGCTCACCTCTCTGGCACAGAGGCTCTAGAAATTCCTGCAAACCGTTGGGAATGTTGCGGACGACGTCGCAGGAGTAGCCGTCTTCTGGCAGAAGGAAAGGCAGCTGCAGGCCGGGGCCCTCCTGCAGCCGCACCTCCCTGCCATCGCTGCGTGCCAGCTCGTCCGCCGTGTTCTCAGCCACGGCCACCACGTTCTCCACAAGGTCCTGTTAGGGAGACAGCAGAGTCCAGAAGAGATGGCCGGCAGCTCTTCACGCCACGGCGCCCACGGCACTCAGCACGTGGACATGGACACGGACACAGACGCAGGCCCGGTCTGTGCCGCAGGCCCCGGCACACACGGCGTGCAGGCTTCGATGCGAGCCCGAGATACCGACTCGCAGCTTTAAGGAGAAAGCTGCTGCTCGGTCCGACAACAATGTTTCTGCTCTCCATTTTCCAAACTGTTTTCCTTTTTCTTTTTGAAAGTGATTGCCAGAGAACGCAGGTGCTCCCGAGGCTGAGGGAAGGCGCCGCCGGGCGGAACGTGGGCGGACCGCCATGCTTCCCTCCGGCTCCCCATCCCGTGGACACCGGCATGTGTGCACACGCACCAGTGTTTTCCAGGCCACCAGGGCAGCAGTAAACCTGCAGGCGTCATGTGGGCCCGGCTCCCTTACCCCAGGCCACGGGCCCAGCATCATGTCTCCCCCCACGTGACTCTAACATTTAAAATCCAGCGGCTAATGGCCGTATTTTCATACAATGTTCAATGACAGTCTGGAAAAGTCCACGTAAAATACAAAAATCAGGACAAACAGGCAATATATTTCCCAGTTTGAAAATAAATCAACCAAAGGAATTATTTCTGAATGAGAGGTGACTGGTTGCTATTTAAGAGTTTTTTATTGCTGTGTAACACACATCCCATCTGACGAGGCTCTCAAATGCCAAGCACCAGGCTCAGCCAGTGACCACACCGCTGCCTCCATGCCTCTCCTGCCCTCAGGATGGCCCTGTCCCACTGCCTCCACGCCCAGCCCTGCACAGGGACGGCCCCTGCCCCAATGCGTTTCTGAGGTGATGGTTCACACCACAGACTGCTCTCAGTCCCCAAGAGCCACACCTACACAGGTGCACCATAGCCACAGCCCACATGCCCTCCCGTGTGTCCTTGGCACGCCTGTCCACCATGCACCCTCTGCATGTCTGTCCTAGGCACGCCCACTGCACACCTGTCCACCACACACAGCCCTGCCCCGCACCCTCTGCACATTCATCCAGACTCCCTGGACCACCAAACACCCCGTCCCACTACAGCATGTGCTCCTACGTGACCAGGTGTCCCACTGCCTCCACGCCCAGCCCTGCACAGGGACGGCCCCTGCCCCAATGCGTTTCTCTGAGGTGATGGTTCACACCACAGACTGCTCTCAGTCCCCAAGAGCCACACCTACACAGGTGCACCACAGCCACAGCCCACATGCCCTCCCGTGTGTCCTTGGCACGCCTGTCCACCATGCACCCTCTGCATGTCTGTCCTAGGCACGCCCACTGCACACCTGTCCACCACACACAGCCCTGCCCCGCACCCTCTGCACATTCATCCAGACTCCCTGGACCACCAAACACCCCGTCCCACTACAGCATGTGCTCCTACGTGACCAGGCCGAGGCTCATCAGTGCGTCCTCCTGCTGACTTGGTGACCACTGGTGACTCCTGGTTCCAGTGAGCCTGTGCTCCACACTGGTGTCACCACCAACGACAAAGGCCAGGCCCCCACCTCCCTGTGTCGCCCAACCTCAGGACATGTTTACTTGTGATGGTGGGGGCAACTGCAGTCCCCTTCGCAAGCCAACAGGGCTCCGCCCCCTCCTCCCTGGGGCCTGCGGGCAGGCGTGCCGAGCCCGTGGGCTGTTCTGGATGGAACCTGGCCTCCCACAGCCGAAGGCCCCACAGCAGACCTGAGAGTTGACGTAGAGGTGCAGCAGAAGCCCACTGGCTGTCGCTGCCATCGCTAAGACACATGGGCGTGACGGCTGCCCCAGGGGACACACGGTGGTGGCAGCTCTGCCCCCGGGGCCTGGTCACAGTGGCCATGCTTGACTCTACGTGCAGGGCCCTCCACCCCTCCGTCCTCCACGGATCCCGCCAATCCCTGACTCCCTGAATCGGGGCTTTCCTACGCAGGTGCCCCTGCAGTCTCTGCTTCCTCACTGAGCTCAGTGCGGGTGGCGACAGCACAGCGACCCAGTGAGGTGGCCTCGGGGCTGTCGTTAGTTCTTCCCGTTCCTGCCTGGCCCACACTGGGACGACGCGGCCCCGCCCACTCACCGCGGGGATGAACGGCTCGTCAGGGGCACAGTGGTAATTCTGCAGCAGGGCCTGGAGCTGCAGGGAGTTGAGCTTGAAGCAGGCGCTGCTCACGTGCGGGACGTCCTCCGGTATGTACTTATCCATGGTGAGCAGCGTGGTCGCCTGAGAGAGAGCGAGAGTGAGAGCGAGGGGAGGAGGCATGAAGCGTGGCTGGCTTAGTTCTGGAGTGCTGGATGCAGGTAGGAGTTTCTTTCCAAGTTTAAACATCATATAACCACTCTGAGTTCCAGGTAACAGGTATGAGCGGTTCCCATGGCCTAACTTTCTGTAACTACCTGAATAGCGTCTCTATTCGCTAAGCCTCTGTAGAAGAGATTGAGAACTCAGAAAAGAAACCTAGTGCACCGAGGCACCAAGCCCGTTCGAGACCGCAGACAGCTCGTCTCTGTAACGCGAGACGGCTCTGGACTCTGCTGCCCGAAGAGTTCCCGCAGCGCTGGCAAGCCCTGCAGGTTATGGCCTGCCTTCGTATCCCCAACGGCTGACACGACGCAGTTTTAAACTGTGGTGCACGCTCAGTACGGCGGTCTCTGAAGTGTACCTACTGACTTCGGCCGGAAGAACCCGTCGGGACGTTTCCTATGATCGCCTGCAGTGACTGAACTGAGTCCTTCAGCATTCTAAGCTGGAGGCCTGACCCGAGCACCACGAGATGCCACCTTACTCAGAGGTCTGTTCAGTTACGCAAGGTTACACGAGGCTACTCGGCACAGCATGACTCATGGACTGGTGCTAGTGGGCGCCTGGACACAGCGCAGAGGAGGAGGCCATCAGAAGACAGGGCAGAGCTCCAGAGCCAGCCACACCCACTGGCCAAAGCTGGGGAGGCACCTGCACATCCTCGCCTGGGAGCCCTCGGGAGGAAAGCGCTCTGCCGACCCCGGCCTTGATCCTGCCTCCAGCACCGTGAGCCATTACGCGCTATCCCGCTGCTCAGTCTGCTGTCCTTCCTCGCAATGGCCCACCGAGGTTTACCCGGCCTCGCTGGGCAGGCAGGGCACACACCTGCACGATCCTGCTCAGGTGGCAGTCGGCCGCCAGCTCCAGCCCCTGCTTCTCGGCCCAGGCCTCGATGTGGCCCAGCTGCTGGCGGATGATGGCCCCCCAGTAGTGGGAGCACAGCCCCGAGTCGGGGTCGGTCACCAGCCTGTTGAACAGCCACATGTTGATGAAGTGGAAGAGCTGCGAGAACAGCTGGATGGTTAGCGCGGCGTTGACCCTGCAGCGGCGTAGCAGGGACATGGCTCCCGTGAGCGTGTGCAGCACGTCGTCTGCAGAGACACAGAGGACAGTCACCGAGGAGCCTCCGGAAAGAGCCGTGAGCTTAGGGAGTGGTAGCAACTGCTGTCCCACCACTCCACAAACACGGGACTGCGAGGACAGTGGCGTGGTCTCAACGAGTTACTGAGGCCACTCAGCACTCCAAGCCCGTCCAAGAGACGTGCATAAAAATTAACACAGCACGGCATGGGCAGATGGGCTGTCCACCCCTCCTGCGAAGACCCCAGACCTAGCAGGGCACCAACTGGGTGCTAACGAGCCCTCCCCGTGCACAGCGGCCCTGAAGGGAGGTCGGCGGGCGGGGACGGACAGGGCGTGGCCTCACCGATTTTCGGTCTCTGCAGACTGCTCTCTTCAGGGTCTTCCAGGAAGGCCAGCATGTAGTTGTTCAGTTCTGACTGGAGACAGTGGACCAGGTACCTGGAACGGCACGGGTGCGGGCTGTCCCTGCAGCAGGCGCACGGCTGGCAGGCGGCACACGGGACGAGCCCACGGCTACCAGACTTCCCACCCCGAAATGGGCGTTCTGCTGCTGCTCGCGTTCTACCACAGGGCGTGAGCTCTGCGGTCCATTCTCCGGGGCGCTCCTCCTGGGACTGTGGGCTCGCATGCACACGTGGCTACACGAATCTAAAGCTGCCAGGTCCGGGACTCGAACCACAGCGGGCCATGAGGGAGTCCAGCACCTCAACTACCATGCTGCCTGCTAGTCCCAATAAAGAGGTTTTTACTCCAAGATCCCTGGCGCCCAGCTCGCCAACTTCGACATGCACTCAGCAGGTGTGCAGGCACGAGTTTATGCCCTGGTGCCCACCTTCAGGTCAGGTAAATCAGAGCTTGAAAGTAATTCTTAAAAACAACACAAACACGATGACCGAGGCTGGCGGTGTGGCCTAGTGGTTAGAAGCCTGGCCCCAGGAGCTGGAGAGACACAGTGGGTGTCTGCATCCATGCTCAAAATCCCCATAGGAGAAGTGGCAGGAGAGAAGGGGCCGTGGGGTGACCATGCCTCCCTGGGGGTGCTTTCTCCCTGAAGAGTGCAACTGCCCTGACAGCGGGCCATGAGGGAGTCCAGCACCTCAACTACCATGCTGCCTGCTAGTCCCAATAAAGAGGTTTTTACTCCAAGATCCCTGGCGCCCAGCTCGCCAACTTCGACATGCACTCAGCAGGTGTGCAGGCACGAGTTTATGCCCTGGTGCCCACCTTCAGGTCAGGTAAATCAGAGCTTGAAAGTAATTCTTGAAAACAACACAAACACGATGACCGAGGCTGGCGGTGTGGCCTAGTGGTTAGAAGCCTGGCCCCAGGAGCTGGAGAGACACAGTGGGTGTCTGCATCCATGCTCAAAATCCCCATAGGAGAAGTGGCAGGAGAGAAGGGGCCGTGGGGTGACCATGCCTCCCTGGGGGTGCTTTCTCCCTGAAGAGTGCAACTGCCCTGACAAACAAAACAACAAAGAGAAAAAGCGTGATCCAACCCTCCGCACACCAGGCGGCCCGCACGTGCGCTTACTTGAAGGCCACCTGCACCAGATGCGCTAACACGTCCTGGGCATCCAGCGTGATGCGGCTGAGGTCCCGGTCCTGCTTGATGAAGTTGAGCAGCTCCGATGCATTTGCCATCCAGAAAGCCAGCGCCCCCGCGATGTTCTTCTGTTTCTGTGGACGGAATGGTCCCATGAGCAACGCAGGGCAGACACAGACACAGAGATAAAAGGGTTCCCGAGAAGCTGCTGGAGATAGACCAGTACCTTCCCACTCTCAGCACGTACGAGCCACAGATACCAGATACTCGCAGAGGGGTTTGGGTGCACGAGGGCAATGGGAGGCCAGTGACGCGGTGGCCACGGCTCGGGACTCGAGTGCACAGACACGAGGGCCCGGTCAGCTACGATGCGCTCCATCAGGGGAGAGCGGGGGTCCTGGGACCACCACCACTGGGAGAGGGGCGTATCTGGTAATCTGCGTGGCCACACAGGCACCACGGTTACCCACCGCCACCCGGATACTGGAGTCGCCGGCTGGGACGCCGGGCAGCTCAGTATCAAGAACTGATCTAGCGCGTCCTCGCCCGACCACATGAGCAGGCCAGGCAGCCCCAGATGAGATCCAAAGAATAGGAACCAAGGGAAACGATAGAGAAGGAACAGAGCTTGGTCATCTCATATCCACACTGAAGTGCATGAAGCAGAAATTATGGAATGCTGGTAGGGCCGCACAGTCAAAAAGGTTTTAGTATTGCACGTCTCAGGAGCTGGATGAGGGTTACGGACTGTCAGTCAGTCGCTGCGGTGCCGTATTGGACATGAAAGCGGCATGAGGACGGACTAAGCCAACACAGCTCGGGCAGCTCCCAGCAAGACTCCTACCTGATCAACCTGGTCTACTTCCTGGAGAAAAACGGACGAGGGGGAACCAAGCAGAACGAGAGAAAGAAACTTGTAAACAATCATGACAGTTCAAAAAAATCAAAGCACGAACATGAAAGCACAACAGGGAGGTGCAGCATTCGGTCACGTTACTCTCAAACCGTCTCCACTCGCGGACCTGAAGCAGCTCTGGAAATACGCAGCGCCGAGACACGCTGTGTGTGCTTAACGGGCATGGTAGCCAGATACGTTTCTGAGGGGACTATCAAGATGACTTTACAGAACACCAACTTAACCATGTTTTTAGGAAACCTGCTAAGGCTGGGACCAGCAGGTGGCGCAACAGTTACATCCCTGAATTCCCGTGTAGTCAACCGCAGTTCGAGTCCCTGACCCAGTGTCTTAAAACTCAGGTCGAGTGTGTGCGTGCCCCAGATCCCGAGAGGAGAACGGAGGAGAAGCATCTGTGGCGTGGCCATCCCCCTGGGGGGTGATTTCTCGCTTTCTGTCTGTCTCTCCTATAAGCGCACATGCTTTATAGCAAAAAAATCCCTCTCAAAAAACCGGAAAGCAGCTCTGCTGAGAAAGGACCTTGTGCATTTTCAAGTGAGACCATGCAGTTCCTTACAGGTGTGTAAGGCGGGGCGGGGCTTCCTTCCCAAGTAGGGAAGTAACAGGAAAGATCAACAGAAACAATCAAAATAGAAGTTGAAAATGTAAAAACATATAAAGGATTTGTATCTATTATTAAGCTCTTTTGTGTTTTGAAAGTAGAATTTAAAATATTCACTGTCTGAGCTCTTTTTCATTATTTTAAGATTCCTTCCATCACCGAAGTGTAACGGTTGAGACTCGTTCTGACTGACTGCATGTACGTGAGGAAGGGAAGGTGTCAATGGCAGTGTCCGGGTTCAAGCCCACAAGAAACAGAAGACAGGTGATGGCTATGACGAGAACTGAAAAGCAAATCCACACTCTACAAAATGGCATGAGTGACAGAAAGGTATTCACATACGATGACCTTCCTTTTCTGCTTCCTCACCCCCATCAAACCCTAACTATGCTAACCACTCAAATGTGAAAGAGCCATACCTGAAAATGTGGGGCTTTTAAAAACAATTCTGACAGGGACAGCAGTTAGCATAATGGCTGTGTTGCTGGACTCCCACGTAGTTGATCGCGGTTCGAGTCCCGGACCCGGTGGCTTAAAACTCATGCCAGGCGCGTGTGCATGCGTGCCCAAGATCCCGAGAGGAGAATGGAGGAGAAGGGATTGCGGCATGGCCATCCCCCCTGGGGGGTGATTTCTCACTTTCTGTCTCTCTGTCTGGCGAGCGCCAGCATCCTATAGCAAAAACTTCTCCAAAAAAAGAAAAGAAAAAAAACAAAAAACAAAAACAATTCTGATGGAATGAAAAGATCCCAGCGTCCTTCAATCCAACAGAAACTACCCAACTGTGCCCCTGCAGGTTGCATGAGCAGCGTTTCACAGCTGAGTAACAGCACTGCCCAGCGATTCAGAGGAACTCTTACATTTGTAAATCTACCTTCAAGGACGTTAAATCTCTGAGGTGGAAGACGCCGTGCCATTATTATCCCTATTACTGCTATTTTGGTCATGAGGTGTGTGTGCTCGTCAGAGGGAACAAGAGAGAGGGGAGGAGGGAAAGCCGAGAAATCACCCCGCGGAGGGATGGCCGCGCCGTATCCCTGTCTCCATCCTCCTCTCGGAGTTTGGAGCACATACACCCAGCATGCTTTTCCAGCCTGGATCTGGGACTTGAACCACAGAGTTGTCCATGTGGAATCCAGAGCCTTCACCACACCAGCTGCTGGCCCTGCTATGCCAATTTGATTCATTTTAGATTGACAGAGATTTTCCTTCCTAAAGGCGCCTAATTATCCACCCTCACTAAAACGTTCAACATCGGTTTATAAGAAACGTCATCCTACGTGAAGTGTTTCACAGGTAAAGGGCAGCTGCTCTTCCTCGTTCTGCTCCATCCAGTGCTCACGGGTTCTGTTCTTTTTACCTGTCGTCCTCATTTCTGAGATCTTTTTACAGCTGCCCCTCCGTGCGCACCCATACCCAGCACGCGGAGGGCTCACTGACGGGAGGTCCCTTACAACCATTGCAGCGCCCCGAGGGCGGTGACGGGCCAGAAGGACGGGGGCTGCCCCAGGGCCGCTGTGCACCTCCCGGCACGGTGAACGCGCTCAGCTACGGGATGCAGCGTGCTCGGCCCCGTGTCGCCAGGCGGCCTCAGTAACATGCGGGGAAGAGCTGCGAAGCCACAGCCCCGCCCGCATGGCTGCCATCGCCCTCTTAGCTGGGCGCGGTCCGTACCACCCACAGCCGGACGGAGTCCCCCGAGGCCAACGTGCAGCCCGAGGAGGAGCGTACCTGGATGACGCCTTCCATCATGCTCACCATCTTGTTCACGATGGCGATGACCTTGTGCGTGCGCTCCGCAGGGCTGACGTCAGGTCTGTGCTGGCCGGAGAGCACGTAGCGGCACGCCATGTACAGCACATACGTGGGCGACAGCTTGAAGTGCACCGTGGAGCTGTTGGTGTAGTTTATGACGGCCGACAGGAAGGAGTCCTCAGCTGACAGACAAGAACGAGAGCCGTGAGCCCGGACGGGGACGGAGAGCACGGTGGGCACCCCGGGTCTGGGCTTACTCACAGCTCTCCCGGAACTCCACGCTCGCAGGCAGCACCAGCTCAGGCCCTGCAGCATCCTGAGTCCTAAAGGGGGATGGTGACGTCACTTACTACAGGTCACTTGGCTAAGGCATCAGGACACGCTGTGTGGACTGTGCATACCCTGACCTGCGGCAGCTTCCAGACGCAGAACAGGCAGCACGGCCCCTGCCTCCCCACTAACCCTGTCCACGCCGATGGACGCGCCGGGGGGCGGGGAGGCTGTCTTGGCTCCTGGGGGGCCCTCCGGGCACGCACTGCCATCGTGGGCCCAGATCAGACACCTGAGTGTGGGGGCCAGTGAACACGGCGTCGCACCTGCTGCAGCCACGGCTCACGTAAGTGAAGCAACGTGGCTGGGGAGACCGTGCAGGCGGGAGCGCAGTCCTGCGAGTGACCTGGGGACAGACGTGCTCGTCAGGCCCTCGTAGGTCAGACACCACTCGGGGCCCTCTTCAGCTACTGGGTCCTGCCATTTTCAATCTTCAGCTACACGTGCCTTAAAATAAGATGTTCCACTCCCTCTTTCCCGGTTAAGCTCACATGAATTCCAAGTACTCTCGACCACGTAGCCGGACACTCCACAGATAAGAAGCCGTCAAATGTAAAGAGACACCCCCCATCCAGAGCGCTTCCGGGGCTGGCACTGTGCGGGGCTCCTCTCCCCAGGCGTTCGGGACCAGAGGAGCTCAAAGGCGATGCCCCCTATTTCTAGGAGAGCCCTGCCAACAGCAGGGCGCCACCCGTGGGCAGAGTGCAAGGCTGGCACCGCACTGCGAAAGCCTCTTCCGGAGCGGACATGTATGTGCGTGCTCACCAGGCCACAGTGGCACATGAGCCTCTGCTGGGACCACGGCCACAACACCCTAGAAGCCACCCCAGAAGGCAGACTGACCGCCTCCTCCCAAGAACTATTTTATTTGTCATTATTATTTCATCTGTCCAGAGAGAGAAGGGAGGGAAAGTGAGAAAACAAGCTGACAGGTCTGGGACGAGAACCAAGGTCGCCCACATGGGAATCTAGCACCTTTATCCATCAGGCTACCCACCGGTAGGGTGGTACCCAAGGGCACCCTTTCTAAAGTGTGTAAGACAAACAACTACAAATCCAGATTGGCCCTCCTCATCTTAATAAAGGTACACTTTTCCCAATGGCTATTGCTCAGTTTAAATACCCTTTCACTTAGACATGTGATTAAAATACCCAGCCGCTTAATAAAATAATCAACTAGTCTCCTACCGACAATGTTTTATGTGAGTGTAACATTTACCAGCCGGCAGGTGGCGTGGTGGTTAAGGGTGCTGGACTCCCACATGGCTGACTGTGGCTCCAGTCCCAGACCTGCAGGTTTGCTTTCT